CCTTATTCTGGGTCTTCCTCTTATTCGAGTTACCTTGCTCCAGCAAATTGGCACGAACTTCCATCATCGGGACTTTTCCTGATGACTTTTGGTTGTCCTCCTCGATACGAAGACGAACAATCAGGTTCCAGCTCTCAGCATCCGTTCAATCATGTACCTGCTGTCCATGTTCCTACAGCTGAAAAGCCCGAAAAATTCAACGGGCTTGACTTTAAGAGGTGGCAACAAAAGATGCATTTTTACCAGACCACTTTGGGTTTGGCAAAATATCTGAAGGATGATCCCCCTCTTGTTGCTGAAAATGAAACAAACGCTGAACTACGTGCTGCGTACGAAGCTTGGGGGCAAGGTGATTACCTCTGCCGGAACTATGTCCTGAATGGACTTAGTAACGAGTTGTACAATGTGTATAGCTGAGGGCGAGGAATGGGACGTCTTTCCGGTGGCACGCGGCGTGTTTCCGGCGGACGGAGAGATCGCCGCCTACGACGGATTCGTCATCACCGGTAGCTGCAGCGACGCCCACGGCGGCGATCTGTGGATCTGCAAGCTCCTCGTCCTCCTCAAGCGGTTGGACGCCATGAAGAAGAGAGTCCTCGGCATTTGCTTCGGACATCAGTTCGTAGGATTCCCGTGTAATTTGACACCAATTATCCAACAATTTTACGAGCTCCGGCGAACGGGAACGGAGTCGAGAATTGAGCACTTAAAAATAAAAGGAATATTTTGAAACAAATAAAAATATCACTTGTTTCTTCACTTTTGATATTTTTATATCCGATATTTGGACATAAATCTATCTTTTCTTTCCTTTCTCTTTCTTTCCTCTATTTTTCTTTCTTCTTTTGTGCCTTATTTTCGGTGTCATTTGCGGTGTTGAGTCCTCACATATTTATAGATGGAGTGTAGCAGTGTAGCAATGGACAGACTTTTCACATGCGTAGCAATAATAAAGTGTTTGGAGGATGAGTTGAAAGATGCCATTAATGAGGTGCTGATGCCATTCATTAATTGATACTCACATGTGACATGATACCACTAATGAGGTGGTCATGCCAATAATTGATACTCACATGTGCCAAGTGGTTGTGGAGGTTGGCACTAAAATAATTACAACCATTTTTACACTCAAACAATTAATAACAATTATAATTAGATCCCTCAAACATATGAAAAATTCCAAAAACAGACCTCAACTCTATTTTGAAAAAATGAAACGTATGTTCTTTCTCAACCCACGAAAAAGTTTCCTCAGTCCTTAAACATTTTTCCAATCGTCCTTTTCGGTCATGTTTGTAGTATTTTTGAGTAGTTGGTAACCGAGTTACTCAGACTCGGGTCGTTCTCAAAGGAAGGTGTTTGTTGTGTTTTTGTCCTTATTTTCTTGTGTTTTATGAGTTTTATTTTGTAGTTTTTAGGTCCATTTTTAGGCTCGACCGGTCCATTTTGTTGTGTTTTGTATATTCTTGCTCTTGTATAGCTTGTTCGTATTTTTGCGCGTTGTCTCTTTGTTTTTGGTGTGATTAGGTCCATTTCATCGCGCACGAGGAGACGAATCGTCCGAGCCGTCCAACCCGGAAAATCCGACCAAGCCATACCGGGACGAAAAGAATTCAATTAGAAGAATTTTGGTCCAAGTTTCATGCGAATCGGAGTTGTGTGCG